TTATTAATCCTTTTTCTATTAATATTTTTATTTCCTTCTTACAAAATTCTAGTAATTCAGAATTCATCTGTATTGGTCTAGCTTTTGTTGGAATATTCTTTTCTTCAAAGTCCTTTTCATAAGGTAATTCTATCATATGTTGTTTTCTATCCCAAAAAGCATTAGGAATATCTGCACAAATTTCTTTTTGAAATAATTCTTCTAATTCTGATATTCTTTTTTGTATTTTAATATCATTTAATTGTTCTTCAATTTTTAAATAAGATTTTTCTTCTTTAATATAATTTATTTGTTGTTGTACTTTAGTAATGGTATTTATTGTTTTATATATTGAAGATGTTTGTAAGGTTTGTAGTTCTTTCTGTCTTATTGGAGTTAAAAATTTGAAGGTAATAATTTTTCCCATTATATTTACTGAAATTCCTTCATGACTTACTACAAATGGATATATTTGAATTAAAAAGGGTGTACCTAATATTACATCATGATTTATATTGTTTACAATTATGAAATTATGTTTAATACAATATTCATTATTACATATTGAACCTTTTGTAAATTTATATTTTACTTCTAAATCTTGTCCATTTGCTGCCATTAGTTTTTCTTTTGTTCTTTCACAATATTTAGTGGGAATTATTCCTTCCTTAATACAACTTGTATCAGCTCCACTATCTATAAGAGCTACAAATGTTTCTTTGAAATCTTCTACTGTAATAGTTACTAATGCAAACCATTTTTGAAAAATCATTCTTTCTATAATATTTATATATTGGTCTTCTTTTACTGGGTTTTCTGCTATTGATATTTCGTCTGTTTTGGTATTAGAGGTTGAAGGTTGATTATTATTTATTAATGTTAATTTTGATTCTATTTCTAAATCTTTTAATTTTAATTCTATTATTTCTTGTTGTAATTGTTTTACTTGTATTTTAAGATTATTAATTTCTGATTGAAGATCTTTAGTAGTTTCTTTCTTCATTACATTTATATTTGGATATTTATCTATTAATTTTGATATGCTAAAGGGTTCTATTATTTTTGGCATTTTATCTTCTTGAATGATTAAAACTTTTAATCTTTCCAAATATTCTTTTCTAGCTATTGGATCATCAATTTTTTCTATTATGTCTAATAAAAATTCTTTATCTTCTTTTTTAGTTATTACATTGATATATTTTGGAGTACAATTACAATCTTCTTCACTGTCTGAACTGGAAATATCATCTAAATAATCATCTTCTATATTTTGTTCTTTTTCATTTATTAATAAATTTATTAATTTATTTTTTATCTCTTCTTCGTTTACACAAATTTCATTTATTTTTTCTTTTAGTTTACATTTATTTGCTTTATGTCCTATTCTTCCACATTTATAACAAACAATTTTCTTTTTAATAAATTTTCTCTTTTTAGTTGGTTCATTTTCTTTAGAGTTTTTATACCTTGTTTTCTTAGAGTATTTTTTAACTTTCTTTTTGTATGCTGATGGTGATTTAATTCTTTTAATTCCAAATGCATCACAGAATGATCCTACTTCTTTCTGTTTTGATCCATATTTTATTTGTAATCTTAATTCTGAACATAACATTAATCCTTCTTTTTTCACAAAAGCAAATAATTGTCCAAAAGTAATATTTTCGAATGAAATGACATCTGTTCCCATTTCCTTTTGTAAATTATCCATTATTCTTTGTGAAAATAAGCTTGGTAATCCAGTTATGAATCTTTCTTTCCAGAATGAAGCATTACAATCTGGTCTTCTTAATACATTTGTTAAGAACATATCTTTATACCATCTAAAATCTGATAAAGTTGGACATCTTAAATTTGTTAAAAATGTTTTATTAGAATTTAATTCCTCTTTTGGATTTCCTATAAAATACATAACTATTGTTACAATTAAAAATTCTGCAGCATCTGATTGTATTTGAATATTTCCTTGATCATCTTCTATTTCTTGAGTATGATCTAGTATTGATAATTTATCTTGTAATGTTAAAGCATTATCCCACCAATTCTTTAATTGTCCAGTAAATCCTGAAACTAGTAAAGTTGCAATATTTCTTTCTTGAATATTTTTAATTTTATAAGCTAATCTAGCCATTCCCATTTCTTGTAAATTATTTAATACTTCATATTCAGCTTTACCATCGATATTCCATTCATATATTGAATCTCCGTCATATTTAGTCGTTCTAAATTTTGATCTTTCTTCATATTGAATATCTGGAGGACTTGGTCTAGGATAATAATTTTTTGAACTTACTATTTTCCAATTTTTATTATTATAATTCCTTCTTTTTATTCGATTTATTTGATTATCTTCTTCTTCAAATTGGTTTTCTATTGGTAAAAGTATATTTTCTTCTATATCTGAATCTCTTGATTCTTCTGATAAATCTTCTAATTCTTCTGTAGAATTTTCTTCTATTATTTGATCTAATGTATTTATTTTGGGTGTTGTTGGTTTAGAATCTGTAGTTAGATTTTGTAATGCATTAGATATTTTATTTAATAAATTATCTGTAGTATTTATTTTTTGATTATTAATACTTTGTACTAAATCTTGCTCTTTTTCTCTTGTCAAACTTCTAGGTTGGAAATGAGGTGCTGATATATCATTTGGGAATTTTGAATCTGGTTTCTTTAGAGTGTCAATTTTTGTATTTAATATTTCCATATGTTGAGATATCGTATGTAGAATTTGATTTGTATAATTATTTTGTTGATAAACCTTTTTAATATCTTCTAGGTTTATTGAATTATTTGTACTTGATTCAACTTCTCTTCCTTTTTTAAAAGGTGAGGCTATAATTTCTCCTTGTCCTATATTAATTTTTACTTCTTGTAATGGGGGGTGAATTGAAGTTAATATTTGATCGTCTTTTAATTTCCATTTTTTATATAAATTAGTTTGAACATTTATTTGAGAAGTATTATAAACATCATTAATTCCTATTTTTGAAATGTAAAATGATAACCAGGTAAAGAAAGGAAAATCAAATTTTCTTTTTTCTAATTCCTCTTTCCATTCTAGTATTAATTTTTCTTTATATTTTGATTCTAATTGAAAAAACCAAATTCTTTTTTCAGTATTTTCTTCATTATCAAAATCTTCTTGTAAATATTTATGATTTACTTTATATGGTTTACTTATAACATTTATTTCTCCTTTCATTTGAGAATGGGTCGGGGAATAATCTGATTGATTTTGATTTATAACTTCTGGAACAGGAGTTTTATACTTGAAAGTTGAAGTATTTTCTACAGGAAAATTTATCTCAGTAGATTCATAGTTAGAATGTCTAGCTGGTATCCATGAATAACTTGAACTGGGTCTTTCTCTTAATGAAGCAAATCTTATTAAAGTGTTTCCATTACAAACATTTGTTTGAATCATTGATAATAAAGAAGGTTTATATCTTTTTATTCTAGTATCTCTTAATGCTAAATATATTGGAGCATCAACTCCTAGATGGAATAAAGGTTTTACAGCAATCTGTATTAAACCTATATGAATATATCGATATTCTTTTCTTAAATATTTTTGAATTGTGCTATGATTTAATAGTTGAATTGATTGATCTTCATCATCAAAATCTTCTTGTAAATATTTATGATTTACTTTATATGGTTTAATTATAACATTTATTTCTCCTTTCATTTGTGAATGAGTCGGGGAATAATCTGATTGATTTTGATTTATAACTTCTGGAACAGGAGTTTTATATTTGAAAGTTGAAGTATTTTCTACAGGAAAATTTATCTCAGTAGATTCATAGTTAGAATGTCTAGTTGGTATCCATAAATAACTTGAACTGGGTCTTTCTCTTAATGAAGCAAATCTTATTAAAGTGTTTCCATCAGGTTTTTCTATAATATCTTCAGCAGTAGTTTGTTCTATATTTCTTGCTATTTGTGGGTTTTTGATTTCAAATTCACTTGGTATAGTTATTTCATTCCATTTTAATCTTTTCGGAGTATAAGTTGTAGGTCTATCTGCATCTACTTGTAATAAAGTTGTTTCTTCTTTAAGGGTTGGAGTCATTATAAATTTGGGATTTAAATGAGATGATAAGGGTCTATAATATAATCTGTATATTATTGCAAAATTCTTTGTATGTTTTTCAAATTCATTTCCTTGTAGATGAATATCTAATATGACTGAATTCAAAATGTGTGGATCCGTTAAGTCTATTGAAAAATTTGGAGCACAGTTAAAATATATTGGTCCATTACAAACATTTGTTTGAATCATTGATAATAAAGAAGGTTTATATCTTTTTATTCTAGTATCTCTTAATGCTAAATATATTGGAGCATCAACTCCTAGATGGAATAAAGGTTTTACAGCAATCTGTATTAAACCTATATGAATATATCGATATTCTTTTCTTAAATATTTTTGAATTGTGCTATGATTTAATAGTTGAATAGATTGATATTCTTCTTGAAGAGATATGGTTTCTTCATGAGTTTTAACTGATAAAGCAGTTTTGAAATCTAAAGGGCCTATTCTATAAATATGTTCTATTTTTTCTTCTGGAATAGTCCAATCTGAATTATTTATAGGCATATGATATTCATGACTTTGTACTACATTATCTCGTTTTGAATAAATTTAAATCTCCAAGGAAAGTGATAAATTTGTTTTGAAGTTGTGCTTTTCCTATTCGCGTTTCTACAACGAGACTTTTCTTATATATATATATATATATATTTTTTTTTTTGGTTGTAAACTTTGCACTGTACGAGAAACCTTGTAATTTCCTAGTTTGAATGATTGCAAGGAATTTATACCTGACTAAGAAATTAATCGAACACAAGTATAGAATTTCATGGGCGATCTTTTACATGTTTTTCAATGTAGATGGTCTTTAACATTTTTAACATGTTTTCCTATTCCTTTTGGAACCAGTGCAACAACTGTTCTGCATTCTAATACGATGTTCTACCCCCACCGAAAATATATGGGACGCAAGAACTGTCTATATACCTAACTTGAGGTTTCTGAACTTGTAGTACATTCAGCAGTCACTTGGAATATAAATTATCTCAAGGAGAGGTTGACAACTTATTCAAGAGGAAATGGAATTACAAATGGGAAGTTCCTGCTCTTCGTGCACCCAATTGCAAGTGGAGAGGAACTGGAGACTGTTTTTTGAAGGTAGATCTCTTTAATTATAACTGTTGGTTGATATGGTGAGTTTCTGCATGCAAAGAGCTCTAACTGTTGTAATAGTTATCGTCTTGTAATTCTGGTTCCTTTAGCCTAGCGGTTGATTGATGCGGATTTGTGTGGATCTAATAGCCCATTGTGTTTATTTACTTCAAGTTTTGGGCATACGATGCTGCAGTTGGACCCTCCCTCCCACAAGCATACAAAAAATCAGTTTCTCCTGAAGTAAAACAACTCTTTTAATATTCATGACCTGTTTTTTGTGGGTGGGTAAGGAAGATTTTAGGGTAATATCCTACTATTTGGTCTTTTAGCGCCAAATACTCTTTGTTTGTTAGCATTGGGAGAGAATTTTGGAGGTTAAGTCCTGTTTGCAGCGTGGTATGGCAGTGCTTGTCATTTAGAGTATCTCTGAACATCATCTATCATTGTATTTCATGATCTAGTTCTTAGATGGTGGCATGACTAAGCTCAATACATGATTTATTGCCTGTGTTCATGTTGCATTAGCTGAGGATTTTTTGGGAAGGTAGTCGTTTACTTTTATTCTTTTGGAGCATTTTTTTTAATGTATCATAGTTCTTGACTTTTTAAAGCCAATTTTGCCCTTATCTTTTCCACAACCATATGATCATCAATCAATATGCTTGAGCCCTGAGCTCATTTCGCTATTTATCTAGGAGTCATGAATGTTTTGAGTTCATTCATTTTTCTTGTTGCATTAGTATGTTTATCTCTACAAATCATTGAAAGATAAAGATGTACAACTTGGTGTTTATAGATTAAATTTTGCTGTTATTTAACTTCACCCACTTGGTATCATCTGATGATCTTGGATAGGTTTAATTTTTTTTTTTTTTTTAAGGTAGCTTATGAAATTTAAACTATCTTCTATGCCTTTTGTTTTGATATTGGAGGAGAGTGCTTTCTCCTCTATTTACAACTTTCTTTCTTCCTTTCTGTTATGTGTTTCTGTGATTTGGTTCCGCATTCTAGTGCTGTGTGGACTGTGTAAAAATGTTACGCTAGTTAGAAGTCGTTGATGTTGCAGCAAAGGGAAATTAATGGAGTCTTTATTGGTGCACCTTGCACTTTGTCTGTTGTTGCCTTTTGAGATCTTTTTGATCTCCTTTATAGACTCTATTTAAAAGGACTTGAGTATAGTTCCGAGAGTAGCAGGACAAGTAATTGATGACTGGTTATGCAGGACATTGACATGAATGAAATGTGTGGCCTCAAGCCAAGATTGTATAAGCATTGGGTAGGTGTCTACCAAGGATCTGGCGGCACTGATTTTCAATCATCTGAGCAGAGATTCTTTTTCTCCATCTGTAAGTGATCTAACAAACTTGGCCACACCTTTCTGCCACTCAAACTTCTTATGTTACTTATGATTAATAGTGGTGATGGTTTTCATCAATGTGATGTTGAATTAAATTGTAGCATTTGCTGTCACCTTGGAAGAGGAATTTTGTGGTGTTAACTTATGTGTGGAACAACTTATAGCATGCCTGGCATGTTTAAAAGTGCTTATAAACCTTTAGGTCTATCCTGTTTGTTAGTTTATTTTTGTGCTGTTACTGAATTTACTTTGGCCCTATCACTTGGCACCAGAAATTGTGTATGAACCAGTAGCAGTCTGATACATGTGAAAGAATGAATCATACTTACTCTGAAGAAGAAATTCTTGTTAGCGAGATTTAGTTCTAGAAACATTCAAGGAAAATTTAACTATATTAGTTTCTATTCCTCCTAAGTTCTTCAATCATTGTGTTCAGATTTCATAATAACGAAGGCAATATGGATTTATCCACATAAATATAAAATTCTTTTTGACTCCTTCAGTTGGCTTAATTTTTGTATAATTTTCTTGAGAATTGCATTTTGCATAATTATTTATTATAGTTGCCCTTCCTGGTTGAGTTTGGTTTCTTGAGAGTCCCAAATTAATATCTCAAAAAACAAAAGTGGCTTTGTCAGGTTGTACTTCATTCTGCACTTTGCATCAGAAACTTTTAAAGACTAGGTCTAGGGGTTGTAATGTTATTTACAAGCAGTTGATTGGAAAAGGCTAGGTTTTTTATTACCCTGGATGACATATCTTAACAATGCTGGAATACTCAGCAAAAGACATAAGAAATTAATTGGTGATAACGCAATTTTCTTGGTCATCTTTGTTTGGTTTAATTGGTATTGCTTCTAAATTCAATCTAATTGCTGCTTGCTGTGTATTACTTCAGGTTCAATTATGTGATTCTTTAGTTGGGTTTCATTTTGCATCAAACATTGATGAACAGATTTAATGTTGACAAACTGGCATGTTATTGAGCATGTATTGCATAACAAATGTTAAAAGCATACAGGTGTATATTTTTTATATTAAAAGTACTTTTGCTTTTCCCCTTTTTCTTTGGTAGGCGGAAAGGTGTCAATGCCCCGTGTATGTTTAGATGGTCTTCATAGTGCATTCTTTTTTTTTTTTTTTAAAGAATGTATATTTCTGCAAACCAAATGTTTATTTATCTATTTAAAAGGCAAAGTTTAGGGGCAACTTTGAGATTCCTTTTAACGTCTAAGCTGTCCATTATTTTATTCTAGGGAATCAGAGTCAACCACGAGCAAGATATACATATGCTTCTCAGTGTAGATGATATAAAATGACTGAAAACCTTGTGATTCTCTGAGATGCCTTTGGACTTTATTTTCGATTTTCTTCCATGCTTGACCCCCTTTCTGCAATAGTTGTTTAACTTATCAAAGATCAGCAACTAGAATATAAGTTATTTAACATGAAGTGGTCCTTTTTAAAATGCAGTTTGGGATTGAGCCTTATTATTCAGCTTATATTTGCTATCATATTTCCCCTTTTTTGTCACTCTGAGCTTATTTTGCGTTAACAATTGATAGTCAATCACTTTTTGACACATTCTAGAGAATTGAGATGGTTGTTGCTTTATGTTAAACTCTTGCTTGTTCAATGGGGTTATATTCATCAGTTAAAAGTTGTACATGTAATCTTGCAATCACACTATTTCTGTAGGCAACAGCTATCGGGATGTATTACACCATAACAAGAAGCCTTTTTATCTTAAAGGTCAAGAGGACTCGAGTATCCTGGATGCTTATGTTTTGCACACTGTATGTATATGGTTTTATACTTGTATTTTGGTCATTGCCTTTGTGTTTTGAATTGGCATTTCCTTTCCAACTTTCTCTATATGGATTTTTAATTGTTATAGCATCATTTTGTAATGAGAAGCGAAACAACATTGTGTATTTCAAACTGCTGATAAAACAGTGGTATGCAGTTAAATCATGTTTTGAGAACAAGGATTTTGATCAGTAAAAATGATGCAAAAGTGGCTGATGCTCAAGGACAAGGGGGCATTCTCAATGGTGATGGTTTCCTGGACCATGGGTTTACTCGTCCTAAGGTATTCATAGTGCTTGCTCTAGGTGTAATTCTGCACATAAGAAAGGTTATGCACAAAATTTTCTTCCATGCGTCTGTTTATTTATTCTGGTTGTCTGAATTGGCTGTTTATCTATTCCGTTCTTACTAGTCTGGTGTTGTTCTTATGATCTTTTTCCCCCTTTGTCATGTAATCAATTTATTGTTCATCTAAGTGGCTATCTTTTGCTCAATGAACAGTTACTATAAATTGGTAAACCTAATGTATGCGCAAGTTTCTCCATCTATTAGTAATTGTTAGGTAGACTTGAGGTCAGAAAGAGCTGTGCCTTCTCCTGGCAAATTTGAACTTCACTTCGTAGGCTTTCTGGTTTTGTCAATATTTGCTTTGGTGCTACCTTGCCCTTGAATTTCAAAAGTGCTGCAGTTTTCGGACCCTCTTATATCTGATACAGACAGTGACCGATCCAAGGGAATGGATATTTGAAAAGGGAAAAGATTCTGAAAGTTTGCCTTTCTTTTCACGTGAACTACTTGACGCCTTTGTTAAGTGATTATCATAGAGCAGAGCTTGTTCTTGAGTTCCAAAACCATGGTGCCAAAGATTAGAAAGTATTGATCAGAGGTGCCTGCATGGACAACTTGGCATCTCTGTTTCATCGCCCAGATCTTTCACCAATCATGTGCTACTCTCTTAACCCACAAGACGTACAGATTTACCCTACTTTTTTGGTCACTTGTAGCTGATTTATTTAGGTTAATGTAATGAACTTCTTCCTGTTAATTTTCTCACCTCGGAAGTTTATACCTACATTGTAGACACTATACATGTCTGAAAATCCACTTGGGAAAGAGACTAACAGGACGCAGAAGCAACTGACTCAAGTTTGAAATTAAGGGAGGATTGAAGAATGCTTAAAGTTTCTTTCATATTTGTTTTATGTGTCTGACAACTTTCTTATACATTTTAGTTTTGATGTCCTGGGCACACTTTTAAGATTCTTAATTGCTTTAATGTTGACACTTTCAGAAGATAAGCTTTTGCCCTTGTTTTTGTTTTAATTTTCAGGTCTTGATCCTTTTGCCTTTAGCAAGCATTGCATTTTGGGTAGTAAAGAGGTTGATCCAGTTAACCCCTTCAAAGCATAAGGTATTGCTGCACTGTCCTAGAGCACTCGTAGGAAAGGTCAATGAGTTTTTGTGCATAAGAGCCAACTGAGGCTGGTTATCTTCTTGTTTAGCACTATTCTTACATAACTTCTTATCGAAAACTCAAATGTATCTGTTGTGTTGTCGACAATGACTTTTCAGTCTTCTGCACTTAATACAACTTGCCTGATGGACAGTGATACTTTATGGACTGGAGCACATACATGGTCTTACGCCCAGATATGACTTTCCATTGACTTGGGCTAAAGAATGCAATGCATCTCAAGATGCGCATTCGCATGCTAGTGACCAAAAAGAAAAGCCAGTCTTCTGTAGGATAATTACTGATTGTGACTAAAAATTTCAACTATGCTCAAGAAGTAGGAACAACGATGGCATATATTTCTTATTGCTTCCATGGGAAGAAATTAAGGAGATTTTAATGTGTTTTTGAATGTGTGTGGTGTAATGTTCATGCTGACACGCGGGAGACTGGCAAATGGTCCTCCTAGACTGGTTATGGATCTCCACTTTTCCAACTAAACAGTAGATTCTACATGGACTGAGTAGAAGAGGAGACGAGCATTCTAAGTTCTCCAATCGAGTTCTTGTGGAGTCTGGATAATTGTGATGCTTAGAACTTAAAGGGACTAAATTGACTGTGGTAGCTGCAAATATGATGTCTTATAATCTTTGCTTCTCGTCATTATTTGGGCATTTGCATAGGTCATCTGTGTGGAGTTAATCAGTCTTCTGTTGCTATAGTTATTGATTGTCATTAAAATGAACAGTCTCTTCAATGCATTTTCTGCATTGTCCTATTCCCCAGGTTAATATTGAACACATGGATCGCTTTACTGAGGAGTTTGGGAGTGGAGGAGTTGAAAGTGAGGAGGAGGATGAGGATGTTGAGAACTCAAAAAGAAAGAAGTCCTCTAAACCTTCTGACTTTCAGTCATTGTTTGGTGGGAATAACAATGATCATTTCATGATAGGCATCAAGTATATGGGGTAAAATATCTGATCTTGACTTGTTGACTAGTGAGAGATTCTTAATTATTTGACTCTGTTTGAGCAGACTTCTTTAGGGAGCTCCTTTTTCTATTGCATGTCAATTCTTACGCATTCATTGGGTGTTTTCTGAAAAGATGAATGGAGCAATGCTTGTATTTTTTTATATTGATTGTAATTTCTTGGAGAAATAAAATCATTTGGGCTTTTGGCTGTCCGTTGTGACTAAGCCAAGTCTAACATTACAGTCATTTGTTTTCATATGTTTAGCTTTTTTCTCGTACTAAGTTGTCACTCTTCATTAACTTGATGAGGACATCTAAAGGCTGCAAAGTAATTCATGCTTTTTATCCCATTGTGCAATTTTATGGTATATGATTTAATAATGTACTGATTTGGACCAGTTGCCAAAACTATAGCAATCAGTTGATTAAGTAACCTTGAAAATTCGGACTACTCATGCTCTAACACAGTTCCCTCCATGACCCTTGGCATTGTGACAGAACTTAGTTATATGAAATTATATTCTTTAAATGTCTTTGACTGGGAAGGCTTGCATTTTAGGAGTATCGACTTTGTCGTTTCTTAGTACCAAGGAAATAGATGGTTTGAAATGATTGGCTGGGTTAGCATCAAATAAAAGGAGGTTTTGAACTTTGTCAAGAGATTTCTTTTTTGGAAAGAGCTGACGGTGACTTTCTGCAGTCTAAGCATCACATGATATGTTTTGTGGGAAGTGTGTGAGTTTGTTTAATGTTTAATATAACAGGACATG